TGAGTGATTTGATAAAGAAAGAAGAAATATAATGCAACTATTAAAATTGAAACTAACTGGCGCAGGAACAAAAGATGTGGCGCAGGAACAAAAGAAGGGAAGCTGATGGATTTTATATGGAACAGATGTTACAAAAGAAAGAGATAAAAGAACTGAAATCCCAAGAAAATCTATAAGATTCACTCTTCCAATCTATCTGCCCTTGTGAACAATCCACACAAAGAAAAAAAATGGAAGATCCAAATCTTGACTCAGGTAAAGGGGCAAGAAAATATTGGGGCATTCAGAATGGGATAATCAATGAGTTTTTAATCCTACCATGCCTCACCCAAGCATGGTAGGACTGAAAGACAAGAGGGAATGCCTCTCCATAAAGATCTCCAATGGCAAGAATTTCTGAAAACAATAAAGACCTCTCACTCAAACTGGGCAAATTCTCAACTGTCGGAGTCACCATCCTGGGATGAGCTGTCTGCATTTGAATGAGCAGTCAATGCTTGTCAATGGTCACGAAGTGAGGACATGGCCAAACTTATGATAAATCTCAATGGAGAAACTCAGCATGTCTTTAAGAGTCCTGAAGCTGATGAAAGGTTCACTTGTGAAAAGATAAATGTTTCCTTCTATAAGAAGAATCTACAAATGTGGAGTTGCAGCATCAGTACTTCCATCGGTTCCAGTTCCTGGAAGCCAGGGGACCCCGTGAAGCTTGTAGCCATTTACAAGAATTGTGCCATTGGTGGTTGCAGCCTGAAAGCTGGACAAAGGAATACATCCTGGAGATGCTGATTTTGGAGCAATTCTTGACAATCCTGCCAAAGGAAATCCAAAATAAAATTTGGGAATGTGGCCAGAGACCTGCACTTAGGCTGTGGGCTTGGTGGAGGTTTTCTCCTAAGACAGCAAGAAGGGGAAAAGCAGGTCAGGTCCTTTAACCCATCTTTTTGAAAAGATTCTACAATTCATTAGAGTTTGAGATGAATATCCAGGGATCCTAATATATTATGCACCTTTTGGGAGTGTAGCTGACTGACATGCATTTTTTTTTTAATTTGCAGGAAATGAATTTGCTGGAATAATCATTCCAATAAAATGAAATGAAATAAAACAAAACAAAATGAAATGAAATGGACAGAAGGGGAAATTATCATGGCAGGGGAATAAGAAGAGTAAAGATGTATCTTTTATATGGTGGTATTTCCATTACCACCTCTAGCCTGGAGGTTACCCTCTCTGATGTGGTTTGCCAACCATGGGTTAACCAATCATAAGTAAAAATTTTATGCACTCAGAGACGTATGTGCTATTACCTATGAGCACTGAATCTGAAAATGAATCTACATGTGATCCTCAAATTTACTGAAAGATGAAGAGTTTGTTTATTCTGTGTGGTTTCTTAAGATTTGCTATTTCTTCATGTCTAGTTGGTACACTGAAATAATATAGAAGAGACAGAGAGGTGAATTTTGTGGTTGCATAATACATATATGCCCTCAAGGAAGTGCTTCCATTGGTTACCCAGCAACTATATATAGAGTTTTTTTAAGCTCACACTTTGAAGAAGGTTGTAGAGTTTTGCTATGAGAAGGCAGTATCAAAAGATTCAGCTATAATGAAGCTGCCACTAGTGTTCCCTGCTAAGTTTGCAAGTACAGATAGTCTTCGATTTACGGGCCCAAAATTTCTGTTGTTAAATTAAACATTTATTAAGTGAGCTTTTCCCCATTTTATGACCTTTCTTGCCACAGTTGTTAATCACTACAGTTGATAAATTAGTAATCTGGTTGTTAAGTGAATTTGTTTCCCAATTGACCTTGCAAAAGGTGATCTCATGACTTTGGGACACAGCAATGGTCGTAAGTATGAACCAGTTGCCAAGCATCTGAATTTTGATCATATGAGCATGGGGATGCTTCAAAGGTTGTATGTGAAAAATAGTCACAAGTCACCTTTTTCAGTGCCATTGCAACTTTGAGCAGTCATTAAATAAATAAATAAATAATAAATAATTTTATTTCTATACCGCCCTTCTCCCGAAGGACTCAGGGCGGTGTACAGCCTATTTAAAAACACAAAAAACATGACAACAATTTAAAATTTAAAATCATTAAATAATTAGGCTCCAATTAAAATCCCAGAAATTTAAAATACCCCAATTTAAAACGTTATGTTAATAGCCCTGCCTGGCGGAACAACAGGGTCTTCAGAGCGCAGCGAAACACCCGGAGGTCGGAAATCTTTCGTATTTCGGGGGGCAGTTCATTCCACAGGGCTGGGGCTCCCACAGAGAAGGCTCTCCCCCTGGGTGTCGCCAGCCGACATAACTTGGCTGATGGCACCCGGAGGAGACCCTCTCTGTGGGAGCGGACTGGTCGGTGGGAGGCTATTGGTGGCAGAAGTCGGTCTCGAAGGTACCCGGGTCCTATGCCATGGAGCGCTTTAAAGGTGGTAACCAACACCTTGAATCGCACCCGGAAGACCACTGGGAGCCAGTGCAGCTCGCGCAGGAAGGGTGTCACATGGGCGCAACGGGTTGCACCCATAACCACCCGCGCGGCCGCATTCTGGACCAGTTGGAGCCTCCGAGTGCTCTTCAAGGGGAGCCCCATGTAGAGAGCATTACAATAGTCCAACCGGGAGGTGACAAGGGCGTGAGTGACCGTGCGCAAGGCGTCCCGATCCAGAAAGGGCTGCAACTGGCGAATCAGGCGAACCTGATAAAAGGCCCCCCTGGCCACGGCTGTCATGTGCTTTTCTAAAGACAGCCGTGCATCCAGGAGGACACCCAGATTGCGAGCCCTCTCTGTGGGGGGCAAGGATTCACCCCCAATAGTCAGCGATGGCACCTGCTGACTATATCAGGGCGCCGGAAGCCACAGCCACTCGGTCTTGGAGGGGTTGAGTCTGAGCCTGTTCCTCCCCATCCAGGCCCGCACGGCCTCCAGGCAGCGGGACATCACATCAAGGGCATCGTTGGGGTGGTCTGGGGTGGAAATGTACAGCTGAGTATCGTCAGCGTACAGATGACACTTCACCCCAAAACCACGGATGATCTCACCCAGTGGCTTCACATAAATGTTGAACAGGAGAGGCGAGAGGACTGACCCTTGCGGCACTCCCCATGCGAGATGCCTCGAGGTCGACCTCTGTCCCCCTGCCAACAGAAACTGCGAGCGGTCGGAGAGGAAGGAGGAGAACCACCGCAAAACAGTGCCCCCTATTCCTAACCCCCTCAACCGCTGCAGCATGATACCATGGTCGATGGTATCAAAAGCCGCCGAGAGGTCTAATAGGACTAGGACAGAGGAGCAGCCCCTGTCCCGAGCCCTCCAGAGATCATCCACCAACGCGACCAATGCCGTTTCAGTGCTGTACCCCTGCCTGAAGCCCGACTGGTACGGGTCCAGATAGATAGCTTCATCCAGGTGCCGGGGAAGTTGTCGTGCCACCACGCTCTCAACAACCTTCGCCACAAAATGAAGGTTGGAGACTGGACGATAGTTGGCTAATTCAGCCGGGTCCAGGGAAGGCTTCTTGAGGAGGGGCCTCACTACCGCCTCTTTCAAGGCGGCAGGAAAGGCACCCTCACTCAGAGAAGCACTTATAATCCCCTGGAGCCAGCCTCGTGTAACCTCCCGGGAGGCCAGCACCAACCAGGAGGGACACGGGTCCAATAAACACGTGGCGGCACTAATCTTACCCAGAACCCTGTCCACATCCTCGGGAGTCACAGGATCAAACTCCTCCCAGGTAACATTCTCAAGACCTGCCCTCGTCTCCTCCCGTGGACTCATCCAGTCGGAGTCCAAGCCATCCCGAATCCGAGCGATTTTATCGTGCAGGAATTGCACAAAATCCTCAGCGCGACCCTGCAAGGGATCTTCCCGCACTCCCCCCCCCCGGAGGAGGGAGTGGGTCACCCTAAACAAGGCGGCTGGGCGGTTCTCTGCAGATGCGATAAGAGCGGAAAAGTGGTTAGACTTTGCCGCTTTTATCACCACTAGGTAGGTCTTGATATAAGACCTCACCTGTGTCCGGTCGGAATCGGATTGACTAGTCCTCCAAATGCTCTCTAGGCGTCTTTTCCGACGCTTCATCTCTCTCAGCTCCTCAGAGAACCAAGGAGCCAGTTGAGATCGGCATCGGGTCAGAGGCCGCAAAGGCACGACGCGGTCCAAAGCTCCAGCGGCCGCCCTTTCCCAGGCGGCCACCAGCTCTTCAGTCGAGTCGTGTGTTAGGGTCTCAGGGCACGGCCCAAGCTCCGTCAGGAACCTTTCGGGTTCCATCAGGCGCCTGGGACGGAACCATCTAGTTGGCTCCGTCTCCTTGCGGCGGGGGACGGCGGTAGGAAAGTCTAGTTGGAGGAGCGAATGATCTGTCCATGACAAGGGTTTAATATCTAGGTCCCCTCTACCAAGATCATTCAACCACTGACCAGAGACAAAAATCAGGTCCAGAGTGTGTCCCCCTATGTGAGTTGGGCCTTGAACTAACTGGGTCAGGTCCATGGCCGTCATGGAAGCCATGAACTCCCAAGCCACCTCTGAAATGAACTGTTGTAAGTCAAGGACTATCTGTAATGACATGAACAATAGCCAGGCCAAGGTGCCATGCTTCTACCTGTCTTGGATTAAGTCACATCTAGCTGTCTGCTTTAGTTTGTGTGAGACTAGTTTACTGCCTATGGAAAGTTAGCCATGCTTTCTGTTGTAATCCAGAGACTGTCAGCTAATTTAAGATTAGCTCTTACATTGTATAAAATGGCAAGACGCATCTCTTATTAGGCTGGTATAAATGGACTTCAAAAATTGAGATGATCATTAAATGGCAGGAAAGATTCCCAAAAAGATTCTAGTGGTTGTCTAGATTTTGATAGTTATGATATTTTTTCCTGATTCTTCAAAGGAGTAGTGCTAGAATTTGCAGAATTTCTAAGGTTCATAATCAAGGGATCGAGAGGGCTCCCTTAGCTTCTGTAGTATTTTTTTTTTCATGTTGCTATCAACATAATAGTTGTTGTGGTTTCAGGTGAAGGGATCACCAATGGGAATCACCAATGGCTCTATGACACAACAACCTCCAGCAAACATCAGGCCAAAGTCCATCTATAAGGAATCCAGGCAGCAAAATAATGGAAATGCTGGCATATCGGGTAACATTTGTAATAGCTGTGCATGTTCTCTTACCAGAACCTCTTTCTCATAGGCTTCTTATTGATAACTACATAATAGCCTATTGTAATTCTTGCTTTTCAAATACTCCACAAACATAGGCAAAATCAACTGATTTTCTGCAGGACATATCCTCCCCCTTCCCTTTATTTTCACATTTACCTGTCTTATTTTTTTAAAAAAAAAATCATAGACAAATTGTCCAATATACTAACTTTTTAAAAAAAATGTGATTCCTGGAGTAGTAATTTAGGTATTACCAAGTCAAATAACAGAAGTCACATAAAGATTACTTTGCAACCTCTAGCCATTTTTTAAAGTTCATATGTGGGATTGTGGTGTGCTTTAATAGACAGGGTTGAGAAATTCAAATGAGTTTGAGTTTGTAAAAGTTCAATGCAAGGCATCTCACTAAAAACAATTCTAATAGGGCAGTAGTCTGCTTACAGTGTACTTAATATTACATATCACATTTTATAGAATTTGATTTGCTAAGTGACATTAAATAAATCTACTTTGCCAATGTTGTTATGTTAAGCTTCAAGTATCCTTTTTCGAGGAACAGAATTAATTTATAATATTTTAAAATTATATAGATATTTGTCTGTGGACATTTTCAGTCATCCAAGTCACAGTTATGACAAAAGCGCTTTTTCAAAAGGCAACTGGACTGGTTTTTCATTGAGGAAGAAGAAAACATTTTGCTTCCCATCCAAAATGCTTAATCGGTTGTGATGGTGGGGATGGATGAAAAGCAAAACATTTTTTTCTTCCTCAAGGAAAAGACAGTCCAGTTGCCTTTTGAAAAAGCACCTTGGAGATATTTAAATTTTTTTATTTACATTTTCTCACTGGATCTTTTGCCATTGAATCATGTCTGGCTTTCCTTTCTCTCTTTCAACAGGTGCCAAATTTTTGCGAAGAGTTGGGCAGCATTTTCAGGGAGAAGAAGAACTCAAAGCTCATGGTGGCATTCATAGAAAAGAGAGACCTCTTGCTTGTGCCCAGTGTGGAAAAAGATTCACCCGTCCATCAGGCCTAGCCAAGCACTTGAAAACACATTCAGGAGAGAAACCTTACCACTGTGGCCAGTGCCCCAAGAGTTTCATTTAAATGTCGCACCTCACACGGCATCAGAGGGTCCACACTGGGGAAAAACCCCATCCTTGTGCTGAATGTGGCAAGTGCTTCAATTGTCATCAGATCTAGCTAAGCACCGGCACGTTCATATGGAAGAGAAACCCTTCCGCTGTGCTGAGTGCGGAGCAACGTTTAACCAGTTTTCACACCTCACATGGCATCAGAGGATTCACACTGGTGAGAAACCTCACTCCTGCACTGAGTGTGGGGAAACCTTTAGCCAGTGGGCTCATCTGATTAGCCATCAGAGAATCCACACAGGAAAAAGACTTTATCACTGCAATTCCTGCCAGAAATGTTTCAGTCATCTCTCAGCGCTTACAGTGCACAAGAGGATCCATGTGGGTCAGTGGCCATATGGCTGCCCTGAATGTGGGAAAAGGTTCATTGCTTCTTCTGCTTTAACCAGGCACCACTCAGAAGAAAGGCCTTATCACTGTGATGAATGTGGCAGGAGGTTTAACCAGCTCTCTCACCTTTACAGACACTGGCAGATCCACTCAGGTAAGACACCTCACAGCTGCACTGAGTGTGGGAAAAAGTTCAACCAGCTCTCCTCCCTCATCGGGCATCAGAAAATCCACACCAGAGAGAAACCATATTGTTGTGATAAGTGTAATAGAATGTTTATTCTGCTAGCTGATTTCATAATTCATCAGAGTCCATACAGGAGAAAAGTCACATCGCTGCATCAAGTGTGGCAGGATATTCCAGCAGAGACATTGGTCAGGCATCAAAAACTTTACCCAAGAGCAAATTTGTAATTGCAGTATCTGCAAACAAAAACTTTCCTGCCATTGGATTTATATATATGAAATGAATATTTGCAGTTTTTGAAATTCAAAAAGGGTGGAGGAAAGATCTAATTCAATATCCTCATCCTATCATCCTGTTTCTCCTGTCACACTGCCTCTCAACTGCTTCCAGCAGAACTTTTTTTTTTTTGCAATTGTTTCCAATCTTTAACCTAGAGAGAACTTTCCAGTGGAGTATGGTTTTCCAGACTCATGAAGGCCATACACTAATCCCAAATTTTTCATCTGCTTTATATCATAAAGGGCAGTGCTGATTAGTTCTTATTCTTGATCAAATGTCATTATTTGGGGATGCTTCCTATCCAATGACACGATAACTTTTTATCAAATCAAAAATAAATTGTTGACATGATGATGACAACAATGATACTGTACTGGTAGAAACTTTGGGCTCTTTTTTCAAAAGTCTATCAAAGATTTACCGTAGATAGTAAAAGAGGAAAAAGAGGCCGGGCTTCCTGAACTGTTTTTAATGCTTTTTTAAATTATACTAGCTGATAACTGCCGCTGCCTGGATATTTATAGATGTCAAAGCGTTTGTCTGACAGGGAGCCACTGAGAGTGGCCTTTCTTCCCCCTACTCCCATGCTCGTCATCCCTGACCTATCCCTTCCCCCTCCATCCCCCTACCTGTGCCACCATCTGCTTTACCATTTCCTCAAACCGGGCCTGGGACTGGAACATAAATCCCTGAGCTGAGCCATGCTGCGCCTCCTCCACCCCTGCTGAAATGGGCTAGGTCTCCTCTGTTTCACCTTGGTTGATGTAGTCACATCCTTCATGCAATGAGTTTGGGTGAATGATGATCCTGGGAAAATGGGCCGAAGTTGTGAGGTGGGGGCAGACAATCCAGTTAGGCCATGGCACGCTCAAATCAAAGTCCTCTGTATTGGCCTTATCAGGTTTCTTTTGCTTCATAGGCTACTGTGTGAGGGAGACCTAGGTTTAAAGGCCCACTGTGTGAGGGAGCACAGTCAATCAAAGGCCTTTGTACGGGCCTAATCAGATTCCCTTCCCCCTCCCATGACATAACGAACAAATGTCACTCTAGGACCGAGATGGCGAACCTATGGCACAGGTGGCACACGGAGCTGTATCAGTTGGCACACGAGTGTTGCCGTAGCTCAGTTCCAGCACACATGTGTTTGCCAGCCAGCTGATTTTGGGCCCTTTTGGTCCTACCAGAAGTTGGGAAATAGGCTGTTTCCGGCCTCCGGAGGGCCTCCGGGGGAGTGGGGAAGGCTGTTTTTGCCCTCCCCAGGCTCCTAGAAAGCCTCTGGAGCCTGGGAAGGGTGAAAAATGGGCCTACTGAGCCCACTGTGCCATCATGTGCTAAAAAGGGGGGGCACGTGTGCAGGGGTGGGGCGAATTGAATTATGGGTATGGGCACACACATAGGCAACCTCGCCACGCTCCCCCCGCTTTTGGCACGTGACGGCAAAAAGGTTAGCCATCACTGCTCTAGGATGCCGCACTCGCTCTCCTTAAAGGCTCAGGCTTTCCAGAGTTATGCTGGAACACACACACAGAGAGACAGTCACAGACACACACACCAGGGGTACCTTACCCTCACAGTGTTTGTCTCCAGAGGGTAAGTTATCTGTGTACCAAGTTTGGTCAAAATTGCTCGAGGTGCTCCAGCGTTATGCTTGAACATACATACATACATACATACATACATACATCCTTTCATATATATATAAGATAGATTGAGTCTTCCTGTTTCTGAATTCTATTTTGTCCCCTAATTTTTTCCCTATTAACATTGTGCATGAAATGATACTTCATTTTAATTGATGTTCCTCAGAGTATAGTATGTTGATATCAAGCAAATCAAGATGGAAATTTTCTATGTGGTGACTGATGACATGAAAAAGCCTGATGAGTTGGTAATTTAAGGAGATGGGTCAATTGTTATCTATATTTTCTCAAAATAATGACTGAAAAAAAGACAATTGATATATCCCAGGTCAGGAATCTGGGGTGCAACAGAAAGCAGGATTTCCCCAAATATTAATAATGTAATAATTTATTTGCTCACATAATTTTCTTTCCTCATCATGTCCTTAACTCCTTTAACATAAGTAAAAAGTAGAAGGATCTCAAGAACATCCAGCATTCACTAGTTTGATTTCCAGCCTTATTATATGAGACACTTTCATTCTCATTCCCCAAATGGCCATGACTGAGAAAAAATTGTTCCATTGTTCCAGTCCACTCCAATAAGACCCAGCAAGGAAGAATATAATCTCAGTTTAGGCTTGTTTTCTCAGTTGCATGAACTCAGCCAGTTTGGTAATTTTCCTGACATATTTTTCAATGATAGTCTTTATTCTTAATGAAAAGATGGAACTTTTGCACAATAATGTCAGGGGTGTCAAACTGGATTTCTTCGAGGGCTGGATCTGCATTGTAGTTCTCCACTGCAGGCTGGCGGGGGGGGCAGCAGGGAGCATTGGAGGGGAGACAGGACGGACGCCTCCTGCAGCACTTTACTGGCCAAAAACGGGCCACCTATTTTTGGCCTGTTTTTCGACCCATTTTTGGCAGCAGAGACACCACAGGCCAGTCCTTTGATATTCCCAGGCAGCCTCACAGGCCGGATTTAAACACCCCGCAAGCCACATCTGGCCCACAGGCCTTGAGTTTGACACTCCTGTGCTATGTGCTGTTTCCCACTTAAATACATTCAATTCCTATTGGTTTTGGGTTATGCTCTTATGTATTGTAGCTAATTTAAAATTCAAATGAGGAAACCAGATTTATTAAACGTATACTCTGCCAATGAATTATAGTATTTTTGGTGTCTCTTAGTCAATAGCCCAGTGTTGTGTATGGTTCCAGGGCTGGGTATAATTTATTTTATGTTGATAAAGAAATGGAAGATGATGCCAGAAAATCATATATCTCTTTGTTTCTTTTCCATATTAGCCATTCCAGTTTTGAGAATGCTTGAAAATTGTTAATTGGTAACATGAGGAGTTCTGAACTTTCTATTTCCCAGCTGTTTCTAAAATCTCAGGGTGAAAAGTGAAACATGAAACTCTTTTGACAGTTTGTAGAGTGTTTTATTTGTATTCTATTGTACAAAATTGTATATTACAATTTTATTCTATTGTAGAGTGTTTTACTTGCAATAGTGACTAATAAAAAAATACTTTTAGGAACTTTCCCTTAGATGTATAAAGACTTCTGATGGTAGAGACCTAGTTTTTTGGTTGATGTTGTTCTACCTCTGAGGATCCTTTCTGTTCTTTGGAGAACAATATACAGGCAGTCCTGAATTTATGATTATCATTGAGGCCAAAATTATTGCTATTAAGCAAGACAAGTTGTTAAGTGAGTTACTGCATTTTATGATCTTTCTTGCCACAGTTGGTATGTGAATCACTGCCTATATTAAGTTAATAACACGGTTATTAAATAAATCTGGCTTCCCCATTGACTTTGCTTGTCAGGAGATTGCAAAAGGTGACCCTGGGACACTGCCAAGCATCCAAATTTTGATCATGTGGCCATGGAGATGCTGCAATGGTCGTACATGTGAAGAATGGTCATAGGTCACCTTTTCAGAGTCATTGTAACTTCAAATTGTCATTAAATGAATGGTTCTTAGGCAAGGACTACCTGTAATGTTACTGTGGTGCTTCTCCCTAGCGTTGTCTGTAATCTGGTTTCCAGATTAGGGATAACTTTTCTCAATATATTTAAATAGCAATCCAGTTAGAAATGTATTAGTCACATTTGGTAGAAAGGTTTGAATTTCTGAAATGTAGTTCAGTCTAAAATGCTATTTGCATACAAGGCCATACAAGCTATCTATAACAGTGTTAGAACAGAATTCTTTATTGGCCAAGTGTGATTGGACACACAAGGAAATTGTCTTGGTGCATACGCTCTCGGTGTACATAAAAAAAGATACATTCATCAAGAATCATAAGGTGCAACACTTAATGATAGTCATAGGGGACACATAAGCAATCAAATCCTATTAGGAAACAGTCAATATAAATCTTAAGGATACCAACAACAAGTTTACAGTTATACAATCATAAGTGAGAGGAGATGGGTGATAGGAATGATGAGAAGATTAATAGTAATGCAGTCTTAATAACTAGTTTGACAGTGTTGAGAGAATTATTTGTTTAGCAGAGTGATGGCATTCGGGAAAAAACTGTTCTTGTGTCTAGTTGTTCTGGTGTGCAGTGCTCTATAGCATCATTTTGAGGGTAGGAGTTGAAACAATTTATGTCCAGGATGCAAGGGTCTGTAAATATTTTCACAGCCCTCTTTTTGACTCATGCAGTATACAGGTCCTCAATGGAAGGCAGGTTGGTAGCAATTGTTTTTTCTGCAGTTTTACTAATACAGTATTCAGAAAAGGCAAGAGAGAATTTGAAAGCAGTGAGACTTGCATGAAAAGGGAAACAGAAACAAACTTGAAATATTGTATGTGATAAAGACTGAAATGCCTTACAGGTATGTGAAATCCAAACAAAAATTATGTTAGAATTAAAACATAATTTGTAGCATGTGTGCTATGATTTATTAAAGTACTTGCCTAATAAAGGTAATTGCTTGATGTAGATTTTCTTGATCTTTGTTTACATATGGAAAAGTGAATTCCACTACCTAACTGTTGGAAGAAATGTCTATCTCGGTTCAGTTCCAAGTGGGAAGAAAAACACTGGAAACATGCAGGCTGTTTGGAAAGATGGTTTAATCATGGACAGGACCACATGGTTTGAGGTCCTGGGCAATTGAGCACATGGCTGAGAGAGAGAGAGATTTATACCCTTGCTTGGGTTTTGAATTTGAGCTCCCTGTTCCTCTGGCAAGCTATTGGCTGCTGTAGGGAGTCATAGCTAACCTTCTAGGTTTTCTGTCAAGCTTGGTTGAACTATGTTGGGTGATGTAATGAAGAGGGTTGTGTTCTGAAAGGGTGTTGGGCAATTCCTATTATGGCTTAATGGTTTTGTCCTGATTTGGATCTTGAGTGAGGGCTAATCCTATCAACTGGAGCTGAAGGCCTTTCATTTTTAGATAAAATCTTTCTGGGGCTATTATCAAAGGTGGGGGCTACTTTCCAAGAGCATGTTTCTCTTCCAGGGTGGTATAATATTCTGCCTTTTTAATATTTCCTAGAATATTTCATTCTTCTAGGAGAGGGATGGGTGCTAACTTCTACATACCCGTACATGCAGGAAACATTTCTGAGAATTCTCATGGATGTATCTGTGCTTCCTCCTTATTTTGTCAGCACAAAAAAGCTAACTTGAAAGGCTGCATCTTCCTTTTTTTGAATAGCTGATCAATTCCAAGAATAATAATGTTCCTGTTTCTTTTGACCTATTCACTCTTCTCTATAT